CTGAACTTAGTAGCTTAATTGATTATAGCTCAGAACTTGAAAGTTCAAGAGATCCTCAGCCTCGATGATAGCTAGGATCACATGCAGGCACCACCATGCCTGGCATCATTAGCCCCATTTTACACATAGGCAAACTGAGGATGAGAGGTATACTGACTTATATGTCCTAAATCTAGTAAGTATTCAAACATTGTGTTGGACCTAAAATCATCTATTGCAGTGCTTTCCACTATGTCAAACTGCCGTATTATTATAACAAAGGCAATATTTTACTATACCGAATATTGTGTGAGCTTAGAAACAACACACATCTTTGTTCAACATCCGCAATTCAAACTGTTAAGTGTCTTTATTTTCTATTGATCTTGCCTGCAGAGATACTATGAAAAAAGTGGAGTTTTGTTCACTTTATTGATTTCCTAGGGGTCCATAGTTACAGGAGACAGATGAGTCAAACACTTGGGTATAGGAAGGGCAGAACCTAGCTAACATTTTATGCAATATACCATGCTTTCTTTTAATGTGATCTGGACAGGTGGTTGGGGGTAAGATCTAGGATTCCTGTTTGTGTTGAGCCATTCTTATCAATTTGGTTCACCTCAGCTCCCCTCCAGTGGGTTGGAGTTGCAAGCAAAATGCAGTTAAAGATAGAGACATTATCTTCGGCAACACAGAGACTAAGTTCTAATGTGATTTTCTTTCTCTCTTTCTCTCTCTCTCTCCAAGACCTGCTCTGGTAAAGCAGAAGTAATTTTCCAAGTACCTCAGGCAGTAGATGTACTTTTCCTCTTAGAGAAATTCAAACCTCTTTTCTGAACTATGAAGGTAATTCAGTATGTAAGATAATTAACCTATTCTGTTCACTTCAACTAGACTCATACCTTTCACTGGGGTCAGCTTTTTTTTTTTCCTATGGGAGAAAATAAAATGAGTGAAAATATTTTTGGTTACCAGCGTGCTTTAGGCAAGGTCTAATTCCCTCATCAGTTTTTAGATTTGTTTCTCATTTGATCTACTTAGAAATCAAAATCATGGGGTAAAAAAGAGAATTAACCCTCTTTTAGATATAGCCTGGGTCTAATAAATTCTAGAAAATGGAATGCTTCTTAAATAAAATCATCTGCACAAAAAACTCCCCAACCAACTTGAATTTTAAAAGACATTTGAAGAAAGTGGAAGTGTGGGCAAGTAGTAGACTGAATATGAAAGCATGGCATGGTCATTTAAGAACAGTGTCAGGAGAGCTAAAGGCTGAAATGAACCTCAGGATTGGCAAGGAAACCAAGAATAGCAAAGTGATTTTCATTATATATGAGAGTGTTCATGTGTGTGTGCGTGTGCACGAGTTATGTGTATGTTATGTGTATATACAAATTTTGTTATATGTGTACATATTTCTATAAATATAGAAAAAGAAGACAATTAAAGAAGGAATAGGATGGAAGGCTGGGCTAGATAAGATAATAAGCTGCAATCAAAGATGAGGATAGAGATAGTAGGAGAACATCTAGGTGGCCTTATAACTTCCATTCACCAGGCTCAGACTAACTATATCCTCAGGGGACTGAAAAACTGATGGATTTAACTGATGGTTCAATGTCAGTGATCTTTGAATGATCAGGGATAATGGGAACATTGCTGTGGGGCTGAAGAAGGAAAAGGGGCCTGGATTTGGATAGAGAGGATCTGGCCACTACTTACTACTAACTTTTATCAAGTCACTGAACTTGTCAGTCTCCCTTTCCTCATTTGTAAAATAAAGGTGCTGGACTAGAGGGTCTCTAAGATCCCTTCTAATTCCACATCTACTGTGTAAGATGATGTTGGTAAGGCATTTAGCACAGTACTTGGCTCATAGTAGGCACATATGCTTCTATGAACCTATGACCACTGGCGTCCTGAATGATCAGTGTGAATTTTATCTTTTGGTTAAGACTGGCCATCCTAATAATGAAAACTGACAAAAGCCATGCTATAGTAGCCACCATAAGCCATGGATAAACACAGTCTCATCTTTCTAAAAGTAAAGCCAGATATAAAACCGAAATCATAGGATCAAGAGATGGGAAGAGCCTTAGTCTAATCCAATCTAACTCCCTTTTTTTTTATGTTTGAAGAATTTATCAGTGTTAGAGTTTCTTGCTCAAATTATGTGGATCATTACCCAAATTCTCCACTTTACCATGGCAGACCCCCAAATTAAGCCTTTTATTACTTTCTTGAATCTTTACTATTTTTGTTGATTAAAATAGAAAAACAATCATCTAAATACACAAAATATTTGTATGGATCAAGTAACTTAAAAAAACTTGTTTGGTTGGTTTTGGTTTTTTTTAATGGGCCTTTGCTTTCATGGAAAGTTTGGGGTCATTAAATGAATTTTGCGATTTCCCAAAGGCAATTCAGCCTGCTCCCTTTCTCCTGTTCAATTCTGGGTCCAACTTGTTGTCCATAAGTACTGTCTATCGTAGGTGAACATACTGGGCGGGGGGGGGGAGGACTCTATAGGTTGTTTATCCAAAGGCGTGTTGAAATATAAACAATAGATATTTTCATCCCCTTAGTCTTTTCTGTGTAGAGGGGGAGGTAGTGCCCCTTTCAGTGATTACAGATATCTTCTGACGCTGGACAGTATTCGGGGGTTTGATGTAATCAGCATATGAACAGAAACATCTGAAGGACTTCACCATCCATAGGGAATTGTTCTTTGACTTGAACTCTGCAATGGATCTCCTCCATCACAGCAGCATACATTCATTTCTCTGTCTTATGCCTCAGCTTATTATCAGAAAGTCATTAATCAGGATTATTTTCTATTGTTATGTCTTCTAAAGATAGTGTTTTTTTAGGGTCCTGACAGTTTCAACCATCCAACCTGCTTTTCAGGGCCTTAGACATGCCTCTTACTTTCAGTCTCACCTGGTAGCTACCCAGTTTAAAAAAAAAAGTTTCCATTAGCTTCATACAAACTACTTTTTGGTCTTGGTCCTTTGCCATAGAGGGACCTAAACTTATTCTTGGCCTTCAGTGTTTGTGGTTGGGGCAGGAGAAATAATATGCTAACAAAGTGAAGTGCATGATTCCAGTATTAAATGTTTTTGTTCCCTGGAGGATGCTTTTGTTTTGTTTTGTTTGCCTTGGTTTCTAATTGTTTCTACTCTTTTCTCTATGGAGTGACATGCAGAGTCATATTTACATGGCCACTAAATAGCAACATGATTGATTGAGTTCTTTAGTTGGACTGGTCAATAACCTCTTTCAGAAATGTCACAGAATCGAAGAATTCAAGAATTGAAAGAGACCATAGTAGCTTTCTAATCCAACCCCTACATTAAAGGATGATTCCTTTATCCTTTATTCCTATATCACTACCATGATATACTTGATAAATGACGACCTCCAAGGAGGGGGAACTCATCACCTTTCAAGATAGGTCATTCATTCCACTTTTGGATAACCCAAATTGTCAGCAAGTTTTTTTTTCTAACTTTAAGCCTAGATTATCCTCTTTGCAGCTTCCACCTATTATTCCTGAGTTTGCCTACTGGAGCTGAACAGAACAAGTATGATCCCTCTTGACTGAGCCAGCCCTTCAAATACTTGAAGACAGCAATCATCTGTCTATCCCCATATATATATGGTATCAAGGATCTATGCCATCCTGACTACCTTCTTTGGGCACTCTCCAATTCATTAATGTCCTTCTTAAACCATGGTGAACAATACTCCAGGTGAGGGCATCATGCAGTAGAACCATGACTTCACTATTCCTGGAAGCTATGCCCCTCTTGATGCAATAAAAGATCCCGTTAACTTTTCTGGCTACCATATCACATCACTAATTAATGTTGAGTACATAGTTCACTGAAACTTCCAAATCTTTTTCAGAGCAATTGCTAAAATATGTCCTAGATCATCTCCAACATAGATCTTTCCCATTAGAGAATGCTGCACCGTCACCCAGAGCCAGACAAATATTTACTGAGTCCCTTCTTCCAGTCAAAAGTGTATCTAATGATGTCATTTCCACCGTTTTTGTAATGACAAACAGACAATGCTTCTCACCTTGGCTGCTTATATTATTCCACAAAGCAGCCAAGAGATTCTGTAGTTATTACAGTTGGACTCTCCAGAGCCACAGCAAAGTACAAACTAAGTAATTACCCACTTTCAAAGTGATTGGTATACTACATCAGATTGCTTACCATCTCAGAAAGGGGGTTGAGGAGGAAGGGAAGAAAGAATTTGGAACTCAGAACTTTAAAAAAAAAAAGAATCTTTTGTTTTTACATGTAATTAGGGGGAAAATAAAATCTTATTTTAAAAAGTGATTGGTTAAACCATTTACCACTCACCCTATATATAGATATCTCTTCTTATAGCAGTGAAAAGCAAACTATTTCAATTTTTCACAGCTGTTCTGTCTGCATTCCAATGGTCCCTGGGCTCAGTATCAATAAATGATAATAATAGATTGCATTTGTGTAGTTTTTTTATGGTTTCCTAAATACTTCTGTTGAACCCATTTCTCCTATAGTCCTCTCTTTGTTATTTGAAAAGCTATCTATCCTCCCAGAAAGGAATTATGGCTGGTTGCAATGGATGAATAAATCTATAAATTCATTATTAAAATTAATACCTTTTTAGGGTAAGGACGTTTTTATTCTGTCTTTTTATCTTCAGTACCTAGCATGGTGCCTTAGATATGGTAGATACTTAACAAATTCTAGATGGATTTGGTTTGGATTGTAGAAAGTCAAAGGTGAAAAGCTTTTGACTTATCCACCACAGAGCTCTTACATTAGCATACAGACCAAAAAAAAAATTGATTAAATACCTACTAGATGTACTTGGCTATTCTTGTCCCCAGACTGGGACAGGCTTCTAGGATCATAAGACTCTCTGTACAGTTACATTAAAGGGAATTGAGAAGAGGGGCAAGGTCTTTTTCTAACCCTTTCCTGCTATGGTCTAATCATGCCCACTTCCTCTCACTTTACCTGGTTCTTTTCTGTAAGTCAAGATCTGCAAAGTCAGTTCCAGCACACTAAGCCTTAGCTGAAGCAGTCATCCAGACTGATGAAGATGCTGAGGAATGTGGATGGCCAGTTTGGTTGTCTGTGCATGAACAGCCTGTAAAACTACTGCTTTCCAAGATCCTGGAGCACATAAGAAAAAAGTTAATATTAGAACTCAGAGAAATTCAAGTCCCAGTAGACAAAGATAACATGAATGATTAGCCTTCATTTTGCTATGTCTACACAATGCCAAATGTCCAGATAAAAGTGAAAAACTTAGTCAATCCAGATGTTCCCAAATATTCATAAACTTGAATGATAGACTAAATCCATTCTTTAAAAAAGTCCAGATGAAAGACAGTTTTGGGCGTTTCACACAATTCTGAAATTCTCTGTAACATCAGCAGATGACTTCTGCTTTATATAAGCAGGTGCAGTAGGCTAATAGTTCCAGTAAATCTGTACGTTCACTTGGAGGCCAGCAAAATGGATTACAAATATGACCTCTTCCAGCAGTACAGATGATCAGCTACAGCTGTACATGTTTTCTAGTATGACTGCAACTGGATAGGGCTTGGAGCCATTGGGTGGAGCATTGAACTCAGGGGAGAGAATGTGATATTTTTCCCTATGGTTTCAGTAAAAGTCTCTCATTTCCTTATTAGATGATTCTGCCCTGCACTAGAAATGGTACAATTAGAAAATGTAAGTGCTGAAAAATTATTTTGAAAAAAACAGCAAAAAATGTTCAATCACTCTGAACAAACCAAACTCTCTTGGATTAAAAAAAAAAGGTTCTGAATCAAAATTTAAAGCATGCAGTTGGAGGGGATTTAAACTAGTGGTTTCTAATAATACAGGGTGTCCTGAAAGTTTTAGGGCAATGTTAAAGCTACTAAAGCTTAGAAACTGCACTAAGACTTTTGAGATATCCCACATAATATTCTTGACATTGACGGAATCCTAATAAAGCTGCCCCCAGCTTCAATATTCTAACTTTCTTATGGGCCCCACTGAACAGCAGGCATGTCCTGATTTAGCCACACAATCTGGCTTTAACCACACCACAGGCCCCCAGACTCAATACAGCCACTGCTCCTAGCTAGCCATTGCCCCCAGATCCAATTGACATATTTGAACAGGTGTGTTCTTGTACTCAACCACATTCACATCATCCATTTAGCCAAAGACAGGACCACAATACCTAGCCAATGGGGGGGGGCAGCACAAGCAGGATGTTTGACCAACAAACTATGGAAGGGACCCCTCCCCATTACCTAATCCCTAACAAATCCCTCTTGCCTTTTTAATATTCATAGTTTCCATTGTATAATCATCATCACTACACTACAAATTTGCCTGTGTTGTCTTACTAAGTTGCTAGTTCCTCTCAGAAACTCACCCACTTCTGAGAGGCATCAATCCTCAATAAATGCCTATACTTAGATTAGAGGTGGTCTGACTCTGAATTCTTTGAGACAGTGCCGCCACAACACACCGTGAAATCACAACAACATTGTAAACCCAGAGTGTTAGAAAGCTATATAACAATCATCACTTAAGTTGGTGTTTTTGAATTGCTGTCTTCCATGTTACACACTTCACATTTCACATGAGGAGTATTAAGAGAGGGAGTATATTGAAAACATACTTTTAAAAAATTAGATAAGCAACAACTGATTTACAGAAAAAAATGAGAAGCAAAGAAAACCAAGGATTCAGAAGAAAAATACACTGAATTATCCAGAAGTTGAGGGGATACATTGTTGTGGCCGGCTAAGTCAGAAGAAGAAATTCAGCTAGATCAGTAACCCCACTTACATATAAGTTGTATGTTCAAATATATTATGATACATGAATTCCAATATAATTGTTCACTTACACACCCTTAAAGGGAGAGCAAATTATTTCTAGAAAGCACAATAGAGTAAAAGATAAGAATTATTTTTGAGGATTTCTGTCTCCATTATTATTTTTAAAATAAAAATGTAGACAGCTACATCTGCACTCTTGACCAGATTGATTCAGGGTAAGTAAAAATGGGTTAACAAATAGGGCATTTATAGAATAATTACCCACAGCCCACAACTGTAGCTTTGAGTTTACATGTTTGGGGCTTAAGCTTGAGTGAGACCACTATTTGTCTTATTTTGATACGGATTGTTTGCCCTGGAAACATCTAACTTTTGCACATTTTGCCCCAACAATGGTTTCCTTTGTGAACATCAGAATTTTGACACAGTCTAAGTTTTTTATAGAGAAGGGAAAGGTGTGTAGTTTTCCACAGAGATAAGTTACATGGAGCTAAAGGGCCTAGAGGTATCTGAAGTAGGTAGAAGTTCATATGGAAATTATAAATTAGTCTGAGGCAGAGTTACTGAGATGTCCCATGCAAGCATTCTGGCTAACAGTTCTTCAAATAAAGGGAAGCTTTTATTTAATCTGACCAAAAAAAAAGTGGAAAATACAAGGGACTCAATCCTACATCCATAAACTGGAAGCAATTCTCTCTCCTCTTGTGGGATTCAGTTTCTCTCAGAGCCTACCTAGGAGAGTACCACCTTTCTCTGCTAGTAAGGAAAAAACATTCAGAGTTGCCAGAGAATAAAGTGACTCCATTGTGACTCCTACTCCCAGGGACCACCAAAGAGGTTAAATGATTTGTCCAGGGTATACGAATAGTAAATAGGGATTCAAACCTAAGTCTTCTTTCTCCAAATTCAGTGATCATTCCATTGCTCATCTAAGAATTTCCTGTCAATTATCCACAACTCTTATGGATATTTCTGGGTTTACTCTTTGTCTTGTGAATAACTTTTATTGTCGTTCAGTTGTTTCAGACTATCTGACTCCTGGCAAAGATGCTAGAGTGGTCTGCTGTTTCCTGCTCCAACTCATTTGACAGATAAGGAAACTGAGGCAAACAAGGTTAAGTGACTTGCCCAGGGTCACATAGCTAGTAAGTGTCTAAGGCCAGATTTGGACTCAGGAAGAGGAGTTTTCCTGACTCCAGCACTCTATCCACTGTACCATCTAGCCACCTCTATTGAAGCCCTGCCCCTGGAGAAAGTCCAGAGGAGAGGGGAAGGGAGTAATAGAAAATGTGCTGTCTTTTTGCTCTTCTCACTTTCAGCCTGTATTGTCTACGTATTTCACAACGTTAGCGGTGGGCAAGGTTGGAATTTGTCCCTTTAGCTTAGCTCTCTTTCTTGCTATTCCATAGCTCCAGTTTCTGCTCCCTGATCTTGCTACTCTTCTACTTGGTTCAAAAATTGGCATTGTCCAAGAACTCCTCTTGTAACCTTCAGGTCTGTTCTACAAATGTTTCTTCTATGTCATCAAGGCTTGGTCCTGGGATTCTTCTGCTTGTCCTGGAATTCCTCTACACTCCACCACTGTCTCTCTCCACTTTTGTCTATGGGGCTATGTTGTCCCTCTTCTCCAGGGAACTACATGTCTATGTGTAATCTATCTTCAATCTACCGATTTTAGTTCATATCTTCTTCCCGTGTGTAGCTTTCCTTTTTAAGAATCTAATCCAAGGATATAGTCCAAGTTCTCTGCAGTTGACCTGGAATTAATAATTTATCCTTAATGGATCAGTGGGCCAATGAATAACCCAAGGGAAAAGAGTTCCTACTCTATCAAGGAAAAATCATCAGTGCCAGGGGTATGTGTCAGTAGGTGTGAATAGGAGAAAGCTTCATTTCAAGAACCGAGGCCTCATCTTGTAAGCCTGATAACTTTGACCAGGGTCCTATAGCAACTTGATCTCTAGAAATAGCTTGTGCTGTTTCATCACCACTCCTGACCCATTAAGAACTACAATTGATTGGAATCTGTGGTCCCGACAAAACCTTCCCTCCAATGAATGAGAGGAACATTTCAGACAAAAAGGTCCTGTACAAGGAGGGGTCAGAATCAGTGGGAAAAGCCAAGATTAAGAACTGGACAGAGAAGTTCTCAGAGATGAAAGGTCTAAAGTTGTTGGAAGTGGAAGTAAGTTCAAATAAGAATTATGTACAGTGAGGTCCGAATGGGGGTTAGAGAAGGGTGAACACAGGACTTGGGCTGTGAGATAAGGAAACTAGGCAGTTAGTGTATTGAGCCAGATGAAGAGTTATCTTAATTCGTTACAACATGACTCAATTCAACAAACGTGTATGATGTGCTTTACAATGAGCAAGGATCTCTGTTGGATACGGGTGATACAAAGATAAAAATTAAATAGTCCTTGCCATCAAGGAGCTTATAGTCTACTGATAGAAACAGCATATACAGAGACAATAAAAATATAAACAAAGTAAAGTAAATGTGGGGGTGATGTGGGGGTGGGGAGTGGAGCTGAGAGCACTAACTTCAGGTATAGGGAAAGGTATCTCGTAGGAAGCTGCAGAGGTAAAGAGGGAGAGTGTTCCAGTTATGGAGGACAGCTTGTGCAAAAGTCACATCTAGTCTGTGGCCAGGTAGGTGATTTTATTCCCAGTCATATGTTACTTGAACCTTTTAATTTTTCATCATGTCTCTTGAGTTGGGGAGCATTTGTTAATGCCCTCATTCTCTATAGAATAGTGGTGGAATATGTGGGGACTGGGATGCACCTAGCTATTCAACACACGTTTATTAAGCAGTTGCCTGATATGAGGCCCAGTCATAGCATTTTGGAGCTGCTATCACAGAATCTAAGGGTTGGAAAGTATCTCAGGGATACACTAGAATTTTCTACACTTAGCCACCTAATCTCTACTTCCAGACTTTTGGTGATGAAGAATCCACCACTCAGAGGCAATACATTCTGCTTTTGGACAGTTTTAAGTTTTTCCTTACACCAAATCTTAATTTTCTTCTCTATAAATTTCATCCATTGATCTGAATTCTGCTTTCTGGGGTGATGCAGGAAAAGTCTCCCATGTCCATGAAGGAGAGTTCCTTAAATACTTGAAAGATATGCATCAGGTGTATGCTAAATTTTCTGTTCTCCAGGCTAAACCTTGGGCAAGTCACTCCAACTCTCTGTGCCTCAGTCTCCTTATCTGTAAATGATGACATTAGACTAAAGAAGCCCTCAGGCAGCATGCTGGCCTGTAATATTCCCCAGTGCAATTTTCAGTGTAATTTTCAAATATTTGTTAAAGTAAATAAAATACAATAGATAATGTTAATGTCATTTTCTAATTCAATTTCTAATTCAATATGCAGCCCAGCCATAAAGATCTTTATTTGTGGTTTAGTGGCTCTGTTTCTTTTTTTAATATGATACACTGCACTAGAGGGCCTTCTAAGGTTCCTTCCATATCTGATATTATAATGCTTCATTTTAAAAGTAAGAAAGCCAGGACTCAAGGAAATCAGTTGAGTTGTCCATGGTTCCCCTGGTCAAGGCATTTTAATTATATCATATTCCAGAACTATTAATTGATTCATGTAGCCCAGTTAGGTAATAATCTCCCTAAGGGCAAAGATAATGCCCTTAACAATAATTTATTGTAGTTTTTCAATCCTGTCCTTTGTCCATTTGGGTTTCCTTGGCAAAGAAAATGGAGTGGTTTGCCATTTCCTTCTCCAGCTCATTTAACAGATAAGGAAACAGGTACAAACAGGGCAAAGTGACTTTCCCAGGGTCATAGAGCTAGTAGGTATCTGAGGCTGGATTTGAACTCATGAGGAAGAGTTTTCCTGACTTCAAGTCTGACACTCTACTGTGACACCTAGCTGCCTTATAGTTCTTATGGAGCTGTGAAGACAGAGGACCTGGGTTCATGTCCTGGTTCTACTCTGTGTGACCAAGAGCAAGTCATGTAACCTCCTAGGCCTCTACTATCCTTATTTGTAAAATTAACAGATTGACTTCTAAGGGTCCTTCTACATCTAAATCTATGACCCTATGTCATATTGTACGAGGATTCTCTCAGGTCTTCTCATTTCTCTGCTGGCTTCATCCCAGAAGCCTTCTCTCCTGAAAGATGCCTCCACTACTATAGCCCTTCCTCTGATTGGTGAGTTCCTCCCTCAAGCCTCCATTTGAGGAAGTGCCCAAGCCAGCCACCCTTCTAATGGCTTGATACCTGACCGTAGCGGCTTGACCTTACCACTCCCACTTCTCATCTCCCATTTATTTGTAGCCTTCTCTCATTAGGATGTAAGCTCCTTGGGGGCAGGGACTATCTTTCTTTTTGCATGTATTTGTAGCGCCAGCATTTAACATAGCACCTGGCACAGAGAATACAGTCAATAAATGCTTTATCTATCAGATGTGGTTTGGATTAGATGGCTTCTGAAGTCCAGACCACCCAAGATTCTTTGTGATTCTGGGCAGAGGGCACCCTCTATGGCTATGGGAAGGGAGATGAATTGCTGTCATACTCCTATCTTGGAAATGGACACTGTAGAGATTCTGCTACATAGACAATAAGACAGAATAAGCACTGGGGGAGGAAAATATCTTCATAGAAACATAGAGATGGAAGAGATCTCTGAGTCTATAGTGCAAGTCCTTTATTCTACAGATAAGGAAACATCCAGAGAGAAGTGACCTGTTCAAGGTCACATATTTAGTTAGTGGAAAAGTTAAAGTTGGAATCCAGGTCTCTTGATTCCCAGATCAGTGTTCTTTTAAGCTCCTACCTCTATGAACCCTGCAGGTACAGAAAACACAAGTGACCCACAAAACTCAAAAGTATGTTAACAAATTCACAGCTCTATAAGGTGAACAGAGGAGTAAAACAAGTGTGATAGATTTTTTTCCCTTAAATTAATTGAAATAGTCAATCTGAACCTGATTATAGATTATAGCTGATGGCATAAACCTACATACAATATCATTGTTTAAGAAAATGATAATGTTCTGTATAAATATGCTCTTTAAAGTTGTCCTGGTGAACTCAGATTTTTATCTGCAAGATTACTCAAATAAGAAAACTCCATATCAGAGAATAGTAATGTTACCCAGCTAAATAAAAAATACTGACTAATGTCTCCAGAAAGAACTAATACCAAATTCACTAATTAAGTTCTTGTTTATATATGCTATTAAGACTAAATTACTTTCCAAATGAAATACAGTCTCTATTTCAATTAAACGACTCAGAATTTCGTGATCATTTCTACACCTGTTGTGTGACAACCTCAGAATGAGTTAATTCATTGTGACTTAATTTAGGAAAAATGAATGGAAAGGCATTTATGAAATGCTTACATAGTACAAAGCATACTACTGAGTATACAAATGGAAAAGCAAGACAATCTCTGCTGTCAAGGAGCTTGCACTCTACTGAGAGAAACAACACATAGAATTTCCTGTTGACAGTGAAATGGAAAGGTCCCATGGTTCTTAAGCTGTAGCAGCAAAGATAATGGTAATGTATATTCTTTAATGCCATTTATGCTGATGATCTTACTAGTTTCTGATATTGAACCATTTAACAATGCCAAGAAATTTGAAGGTAAGAACTCTATTTTCCATATGGTTTGTAGCTAGGGCTGCTGAGGAGGCAGGGTCTCTATTACCACCACCACTCCCAAACAATTTCCAAGACACATCTCCACAGAGGTTATTTCCTGAAGTGATGGCTCTGGGGGCTGAACTGGAAACAAGGCTAGATGTCTGGGGATGGGGGGAGGAAAGATGTTGCCATTTCTGGGGCTCTTGGGCTTACTTGTTCAGCGGTAGCACTGGTGGTAGCAAGGAGAGTGGGCTCTTTCTCCACAGTGACTGATCTCCTCAGTGATGGAATCCTGGGGCCCTAAATGGAAACAGGGTGAATGGATTTAGGAACATTACTATTCCCAATGGTCTTGGGTTTAGGGTCCTGAGATATCTCTCTCAGGGTCTTTAATGAGGTGATGGTGGAGATAGTGGCAATGTCTTGACTTGCCTGGCACATGCCACTCCTTTCTTTTTTTCACCTTCACTTTTCACTTCAGCTGGGCTAGCTTACCTGCCCTCTAGGTAGTGATTACCTAGTAGTAGGTTGGGATGGCTAGTCCCTTCTCCACAGGGGTTACTTCCCAAGATGAGGGCTGAGCTGAAAGTTAGAGAAGTTGTTTGGGTGGTGGAAATGCTGTTTCTATTCCCAGAATCCTTGGGCTGACCTATGTAATGAGAGATGCCTTGAGGTCAATGGCTCAGTTGCCTCCAGAGCCAAATTGGGGAGAAAACCCTTCCTTTTTCTCTCTACTAACACTCTGTTTATATCTGGTTTGAGCAGAGGACTTGCTTTCCTGTTGCCAGTGGCCTATGTGACTGAAAGCCCTCTTTGCTTTCAAGAGAATTGCAGAGACTAAGAAAGAAGGTCATGGAGAAGCCAAGAACAGAACCCTTCCTAGACAATCAGGAAGCATTCTCTCTCCCTTCATATTACCTAAGATTTTATAGGTTTAAGAGCTAGAAATCACTGAGACTAATTCCCCCCCATACACTTTTTTTTTCAGATTAAGAAACTGAGGCCCAGAGAAGTTATGTGGCTAGTAATCCTAGCAGATCATAGAATAGCCAGGATTCAAGCCCAGTCATCTAACTAGAAATCTATTGTTCCTTCAGAGCAATCCCGTGTTGGAGAATTTGGCTCCAAATTGCTTACATGTTATTATGAATTTAAAACATTGCTGCATTTAGTTCTAAAGCTGGGTCCATTTAACTGGTGGCTAAACTATCCCTGTGGATAGCCTGCATGCAATTGTTATTAAGCATATGATGTATAATAGGGCCCTGAAGGGCGGAAAATGTAACCAATGCTGTCATTTATTGAAAGAAGCTATTATTGTTCCTTGGGGGGGGGGGGAATCTTTTTTTATGGTATATAAGAAATGTTAAACATATTCATACATTGAGTAGGGATAGAACAGCACATTCATGAAGATGTTAATGGGATATTTTGCCATTAATGAGTATAAGCATTTACACAACAGAAAAACAAACCAACTTGAGAAATCTATAAAGTTTTCTAAGCTGTTCCATAACTTTCTTTGTCAGATCTTCTGGATTGAATTCAAAGTAAGTATGATTGAAATGCCAAAGCTATGTAACTATAACCGATAGAAATGTCACCAACTTAGTATTATCAGGCATGAAGTTATATTACATTTCTACAAGGGAGGGATGAGGATCAACTAAAAAAAAGTGTGGGAATGTGGCCTAAACAAGCAATTCTCACATACTCTCCTGGAAAAAATGAGCAAATGCCAAAAAAAAAAAAGTTTAAGCAAGGAAAAGCTGACCCTAGTAAACTTAAAATGATGCAATCTCTAGTCAGTCCTGGATAATGCCAGAGAGAGGGTTGTCTGTTTTTGTTTTTGTTTTTTTTCGTGTTTGTCGCCTCTATTAAAATAAGGTATCTCCGGAAGCATGCATGAGTGAGTATGTAAGACCACAACAGTTGAAAGAACACTGGTACTCCATTTGTATAAATAGCAGTGTAGTATCTTCTAGGAAGATTCCCCCTTTCTATACTGTGTGAAATACTCCTTAATAAAGGGTGGGGGAGGGAAGAAGGGCATAAGAATTTATTAAGCAAGTACTGTGTGCCAGGCACTGTGCTAAGTGCTTTACAAATGTTATTTCATTTGATAAAGGCATACAATATTCAAGACCAGCTGGAAGGGAGCCATTAGATCCTCCAGTCTAGTCCAGTCCTCTTGTCTTATAAATGAAGATCCTTAGACCCCCAGAGGTACACAGGTGGTTAATGACAAAGTCAGAACTAGAACTCAGGCCCCCCACCTCCGGTTCAATATCTCCACTTCATGCTGCCTTTTCTCTAGTTTCAACAAAAGACCCAGCTGGAATTGGTTGGGTTTTTTTTCCCCAAAAGGAATTTTTACTAATGAAAAAAACAAAGATGTTGAAACAGGCAACTTCACAGAATATAGTTTGTAGTCCCTAACTTCATTATATCTTGTCACTGATTGATTGGCTAGGGGGACCATCCAGACCTGCAGTTTCTTTCCCCCATGGATGCCAGTCTTCTCCTGGGATCTATCTCTCCAGGTACAGATATGGTTTCCCCTCCTCATAGTTTCTCTGCAGTCTTGGACAGCTGTTGTTTTTGTCAGACTACTTCCTCCTTTGGTTGAAATGCAGCCATACAATAGACATGTGAAGTGCCTACTAGGTGCACTCACTGTATTAGGTATTGTTGTGGAGACTAGAGAAATCAAATACAGCCCCTGCCCTCCATTCTTTGCTTTAGGGTGGAGATATTCCTGTGAGAGGGACCTGGGGACATACTGATTCATCCTTCTGGTCAGCTACTACCCCCCTGGGACTTCTTGCTGGCCAAGTCTATGGGTGATTTGGCTCAGTAACCTACTGGGTCCCAGCCAACCAGGCTTCTGACCGGTTCAAAGAGCCCATCCCTTCCTCCCTCATGTGAAATTGCAGGAATTCTGGGGAGTGAGCTATCCCACCATCACATTTCCCTTCCAGGATGTTAGGTGGATTCTAATCCCACTGCATTCCCTGATAGGCAACAAGCAAGCAGAAATGCCACCAGGTCCTTTGAGGTCCCCCCCAAAAGCATCTGGCTCATCCCCATTTGGCCCAGTGGCTAATCTCCCACAAGTCTATCTCTTCTATGCTTTCGCAGATTCCTACAGACATACTTTCTGCTCCTCATTAAAGGACTGCCTACTTCATTTGTCTTCCCATTCTTGTTTGCTGCTCCATTAAAAGGTGCCTCCCTACCATTGTTCATTTGGTTGGATGACTTAGCCTATTCTTCATCTCCTTTAACACCCTGACACCCAAGTTCATTCTCACAGGGAAACTTAATGTTTATATCACAGAATCTCAGGGTTGGAAGGCACCTAAGAAGCCTTGCTGACCAAATTGTAACTGGATAAATACCCCCTCTACCTGACACCTAACAATCTTTTGTTTAAACACTTCCATAAAGTGCAGAGGAATCTATTATTTTCCAAGGAAGCCCATTCTAGTTTTGGGTAACTCTCATGATTGGGGAGTTTGTCCTTGCCTCAGGCCTATATCTGTTCCTTTACAAGTTATATCTGTTCAATGTTTCTTGCTGAGGTAAAATTCCTGGCTTCCAACAGAAACATTTCCTTTATATCTCCCCAAGTATTTAACACTGTGCTCTGTACACATAGTAGGCACTTAATAAGGCATTTGAAATAAGCATAAGAAATATTCTTTAAAATATGTTCATTTTTAATTTAAAAACTGTGCTTACTGTAACAATTATTTTAACAGCATTTTTCATTTTTCTTTTGAATATTACCAAAATAATCATTGCCATTCATCCATCCATCTGGCATTGAGTGTCAGGAAAGAGCAGAGGACTTGGATCACAGACTTATTATTGCCCTGCATTTCAGTGCAAATCAACAAACCATCGTTAAGAGCACTCACTCCAGAAAAGAGAGGTAGGTATTCATCTATTAAAAGCAAATACTCAACTTTCACCAAGATTGTTTTAATAGCTATACATGTAAGAGTTTGAGGTAAATGTTTAACAACCAGCTCTCTGAGGGAAAAAAAAGCTCCTTCCACAAACTTTTAAATTAAGTTTACATTATTTACATTTTCCACCACTTTCCTAAGTCTCTACAATCACCAAAACAATAAATCAAGCCCTGATTTGTAGCATTTGTGGATTCCTGATACATAAATGTTTGCACTGAAAATTTAACAATCAGTCCTCCTGAGGTGATATTAGCTGGTTTTAGCACCCTTCCACGATAAATGATAATTAGCTTGCTTCCCACTAGATCAGATGCTCCCAGCCTTTTTGAGGATCAGGATCCCTTTTTAACTAAAAAAAAAAAGTTCTGGCATCCATGCAATAATAGTAGCATTACATGTTCCTTTTGATTGGAAAGAAAAACATAATGATTAATGAATTCAACAATACTTTTAAATGAACCAATATTACTTTAATTACAAAAGCATTACATATGTTTGAAAAATCAATCAACAAACATTTATTAAGCACCTATGTGTATCAAGCACTGTACTGAGTTCTGGGGAATACAAAGATCAAAACAAAATAGTCAGTGGCCTCAAATAGCTTACATTCTAATAAGAGAAATAACATGCATACAGATGAGTAAGTACAAAATATATGTATATGTACTATGTGTATGTATGTATACATATACACACACACACGCACACACATACATACACGTGTACGCACATATATATATATATATATATATATATATATATATATATATATATATGAATGTATATAATAAAAAAGGGAAGGGAAGGCACAAGGTGCCAGGAGAATTGAGAAGCAGAAGAGGCATTATGTAGGAAGTAGCAAAAATATTTGAAATATGGGAAGAAAATGTAATAAGTTCCCTTAATTCTAGTGCCTTCCCTCTGTTAATTATTTCCTATTTTTCCTGCACATAGCTTGCTTTGTATACATAAACATATATATATGTGTATACATATACATACATACACATACATATATGTATATACAACACATACATGTATCATGTTATCTCCCCCGTTAGATTGCAAGCTCCTTGAAGGCAAAGACCTTCTTTTACCTCCTTTTGTATCCCTATTGCTTAGTACAGAGTGCCTGACATACAATAGCAACTTAAAAAACATTGATTGATAAGTCCTTGAAGCTAAAATGAATCAAGTCCAGAAATGGGAATGTTATGGGTTGTTTATTCCTACATGCTAAATTTTAAAGGGAAACACTTTCTCATAAGGGGATGACTATATTTTTTTACCATAATAAAAAACAAAGACAATGATGTAGAA